TAAAGAAATAAATCCAACAAAATCTTGAATAGTCATCAATAAATATAATATAATATTTATTACCATTTAAAGATGATACTCTTTGAGGTCCTCCAACATCTGTATGTACTGGCTGCAGCTTATGTGTTGCTCTCCAAGCTGTTTGAGGAAATGGTCTTCTAATTTGCTTACCATATTGACAAGCCACACAATCAGCCATATTGTCTTCAAGCACTGTTACACCTTTAACCAAGTCATGTTTCTGCATGTATAGAAGTCCCGCAAGGTGAAAATGTCCGAGCCTTTTGTGCCATAATTCAATGTTGTTGTAGGTGCGTGAAAAATCTATTTTCTCCTCCTCCATTAGAATTAGAGCATAACTTTTGGCCTTCATTTTTACCTTAAACACATATTTGCCTTTTGCATCCTTAATCAAGCACCACTTGTCTTCAAATATAACTTTGAAGCCCTTTTCAACTAGTTGTGCCACACTAAGCAAATTTTGGTCAATGTCAGACACATATAAGACATCAGAGATATGTTTCAAACCTGTTAAACTTTCGATAGTAACATTTCCTTTTCCTTTGATTGATATCAAATCACCATTTCCAATTTTTACTTTGGAAACAATGGTTTTATCAAGCTCTTTGAAAAGCGTTTGGTCGTTCGACATATGGTTTGTACAACCACTATCTATTAACCATGAATCACTAGAATTGTTGCTTGTAGCAAAGCATGTTGCAACAAAGAGTTGCTCATCTTCTTGTTGCTCCGTGGACATCTGACGACACTCGAATAGAAGGGAAACAATTTAGGGTTAAGTTTTAAGAGTTTATTTGATTGGAAATAGAAAACAGAAAAACATAAAAGATACCGTAGGCGCCACAAATAAGAATATTTGATAAGCCAAGAAGGATCGCCACAAGAATCGAATAATTCTTGATAAGATCAAGTGATGCAAGGAAGAACCCTAGCAGAACAACAACTCACAAAGTGATTCTGAATATTACGTACGTTCATTCTGAATTTCGAAATATTTAATACAACTTAAGTTTATGAGTTTGTCTCATTGTAGGAAATAAAGATAAATTAAAATCCTAATATCCCAAGCAAAGTTAAGTTGCTCAGATGATTCAGTGAAGACATTATAAGCTTTGGATCTTGGGTTCAAATCCCCATTGTAGCAAATAAAATAATAATAATAATAAAAACTAAATCTTTTAGTTGGGCCTCCTAGCTCTCCAAACATTTTATGCATGTGATAGGTTTAGACTCCTCCTTGTTTAGATCTTTTAATAGTTGGGCCTTTAGCAAATTGGTCACTTTGTATTGCAATGCCTCTTGTGTTTTTCTGAGTCTGCCTCTTGTCATAGGTCCACCTAAGTCTTGGATTAGATCTTGGTCTTGATCCTTCTCGTTATGGGCTTGGGTCTTTATGTCCACATCAACATCTTTGCCTCCTCCGATGATTTGCAAATCCACTCTACATGCCCCAGCTTGCCACATTTTAAGCACTTGATGTCAGGTCTCCACTAACATTTTTTTTAGAGTGGTTTGTTTTTTTACAGTGTGGACAAGGTGGAAATGTGTCACTTTGGTGCTTGTTGAAACTTTCTGGTTTCCTGTTTTTCCATTTGGTGTTCTTCTTATCTTTGCCTCCTCCTGAGTTTTGTGCTTTTATATGAAAAGCACCTTGTGTTGTCTCTTCCTCCTCATGTCTCATCGTTCTCCTCTGTTCCTGGGCCTGTAAAGCATTTACCAATTCTCCAAGGGTGACTTTGACAAGTCTTTTGACTCCTCTAATGTTGATATTTTGGATTCATACTTTTCAGGTACAATAACAAGTATTTTTTGTACTATCCTTTCATCAGGAAAATTCTTACCAAGGATACGTACTTGGTTTGTAATGCTCAACAGATTGTCAGCATAACTTTTGATAGTTTCCGTCTCCTTCATGCTTTGCATCTCAAATTCTCTGCCCAAGTTGAGTGCCTTCATACCTTTGGTTCGTTCACTACCCTGATACTCTGATTTGAAGTAGTCTCAAATGTCCTTCGCAGATTTCAAATTCATAATTCTTATAAATATGATTTTTGAAACGTAAGAGAAAAGACAAGCTTTGGCCTTAGCCTTTATTGTCTTCTTTTCTTTGTGAATCTTCAGTTGCGCCACTGTAGGATTTTCAGGTAGTGGACCAACTGCATAATCTTCTTCTATCGATTCCTAAAGATCTAGGGCTTCAAGATGGACAATCATCCTTGCAGCCCATAGGTCGTACTCCTCACCATCAAAAATTGGTGGTGATATTATGTGTGTTGTTTCTGTTTCCATTTTGATTTCTTTCACTCATAGATCCCTCAAGATGATGCGCTCTGATACCAATTTGTAGAAATTGTAGAAACAGAAGATATATTTTATGAAGGATGAAACACTGTGGTTTATTTTACTCTTTAAATATAGTTTAAAATAAAACAAATTCAAAACAAATATCCCTTATTTTTAGGCATAATCCAACGGTTATTTTGAATATATTTTCTAAATTGACAGAAACATAATCAATGCTATCATAAAGAATAGGTTTTAAACATCTACTTCTGTCACCATAGTAAGGAAAGGAATGGATGAATGTGATACGAGGAATAAACCGGATACAAAGTTGAAAGTGGGAAAACTTCATACATCACAAACCAAGGTTCCAACTTTTTCCTTTCTATTTATTTATCAATTTTATCTTTAGAGAATGTAATAGATGCAATCAAAGCAAACATTAATCAAAAGAAACAATACAAAATCAGCACTATACTATTGACATTGGAGATATTAATTTCCTGTTTGCAGCTTCTGTTTTGGGCTTAACTCTTATCAATTTATCACTCCAAATATCAATTTTGTCTTCTCAAATCTTTGTGTTTCTTTTTTCTGTCTTTGATGCTTCAATTTGCAAACAAAGCCTATCCTACAATATTTTTAATTACTCTTCCTCTTAATCACTCTTTGTCACGTGTCTGTGAAGAGTTTTGCAACTCTTCAACCGTCGTAGTCAACATCTTATCATAGATTCGCATCAAATTAGTCGAAATACTCTATAATGATTGTTTCCTTAATCATAGATAACAAACAATTCATGCTAGCTTCCAATAGACCACAACTTCCTTTCCCAGAATTTCCTGTTTTAAAATATCTCATTTTGATGTCGTGACTTTGAGTTTTTCTTTTGAAAAATAATTATAGAAACATATTGATGTAATAAAATTCGAGCATTCTTATTCTCTACACTCTCTTTTGTTTTTATGAGTCATTATGGACAGGTTACAGTCCTCTTCACACACCATTACCGTTTTTATCAAATAAAAATTCCTAGGTATGACAGTTCTGGTACCAATTTGCTGGACAAACTAAATACATAAAGAACAAAATCCTATGCATATATACACACATAAAAAAAAATATAAGAGACTGAAAATAAAGATTTTTTAATTTTTTTAAATATATAAATATTACTATTTATAAAAAATATTATAAATATATTTTTGTTAACCTCTTCATAGAAGAACTAATATATTTTGGATTATTATACTTATTTCAATTTATCTATCACTAATTAACACATCCCTTTTATGCCATGAGCAACAAGGGAAATAAAAAATGAGATGGATATATTGAGAGGATGAAAAGAGAAATTCACCAACACTTAATAGGTGACAAATAAAAGCTCAAGACTTGAGTTTTTTAAAGGATATAATAAAAAAATTGAAAAGATAGAAAATAATATACTCTAGTAAAATTTATCACTTACTACTCCATTAAGATAGTAAATAAAATTTGAAAAATTACGATTATTTATATTAAATAATTTGTATTATGTCTATTCCGCTCGTCAATTTCATATTACTAATATATTAAAATGAAAAAGAAAAAGAAAACTAAAACTGTAATAAAGTGATTTTTATTGTGATAGATAATCTACAGTATCAATTTAGTAGGATGTCTATTGATATTTTTACATTATAAATAAAACAAAATATTTCAAATTTAATAAAATTTAATTAATATTTATTAAAAACTAGACAAATTTTGTTAACATAACTAGACACACTACTTATTTTAAAAAATAAAATTTTAAAATGTGAAAAGGTAAGACAAATTTCCAATAAAATATGTAATTTAGTTAGTATACAATGATTTAAATGCTTGTTTACAGTAAAGACAATATACTGATTTGATTTCCATTTTAGGTTGGTTTCCAAATTCAGATTTATTTAGTAATTTATAGTCATAGTGTTTATTCATAACAAAGGATAAACTTAATTTTTTGTATGTATATATTGAGACTAAAATTTAGAACAGAGACAAGTCTACAAAGAAAGTGAATATTCTAAGTTTATAATAATTTTAACTCAACCTCACCTAACTTAAATAACATTTTGTATGTATCCAACACAATGAGTTGAAACCTCTTCCCACACTAATTATGTAGCTAAAGCGATTGAGCTCTATTTAATTAAATTGTAATAGCATATAAACCTTTATCATCTAAACCAAATTTCTAGACTTTAAAAAATAAAATACCTAAACTATAGTTCTATTTTAATATGTCCATACCAAAATGATTCCAATGCACTAATCATCATGAGCTATGAAATAAAATTAAAAAAAATCAAAAAAAGAACAAGAACTTTCAAACTAAATCAAGTGAAGTGCCATATATTGGCACCAACACAAATATTGGAAAACTAAAATAAATAATGTTTCATGTTCTATTCTATATTTGTAAAAGGAATTGATAAAATCATACTGGTATGGTCTAGTGACACCATAAAAGGATAATTATAATTTTGCGATGCAACATTCAAGGATTCTCCAAGAGAGAAAAAAAAAAAAGGGTCGAAGTATCTCTAATTAAGTTGTTAATCGTTTAGGTCTAGATTATCCTCAACAATGAATCATGAGTATTACTATGATCTAGTTACAGAGACATAAAAGGGTAATTGTAAGTAAGAGGTGTTCTTCAAGTGAGACACTCAAGACTTTCCCATAGAGAGAAAAATCAAAGCGTCTACAATTTCCCACTGGATTGGGTTGAGTGTTGTTGAAAGTTGTGATGATGGTGGAACCTCCACATTATCGTCTTCAATTCCAACCAAACCTTTTTCATGCATTTCACTTTCAGGCCATGGTGAAGTATTGGCATCTATAACTATACATCCTTCATTTGCCTTGTCTCCTTTACTACTGTTGTCATCTCCAACCAAAACTGTATCTCTTAGTAGTTGAAATTTAGAAATTCCATCAAGTTTTGCCATGCCATCTCCACCTTCAGGACAGGCGTTGAGATCAAATGGCCAATTTTTCACAGCATCTCCATTTTTGAGCTGCAGATAATAATAAATACACATCTCTTTACTGTACATGAATATAGGTTATTATCCATTATTCTATATGTAGATGTATATAGTTTGTTCTGTCACTCCTAAAACATCACTTGAGATATAAATTTGTTGATTAAAAACAACACATAAAGATATTTCGCATATGTCAATACCTCGAGAGAATTTATCATTGCTGTGCTTTTCGAGTTATTTCCCCTTTGTCCTCTGAACACACTCCATAAAAAGAACATATCATTCCAACCTGCAAAGCAACATAAGTAGATAAATATGTTAATGTGTAGTTAAAATATATATATATATATATATATATATATATACTGAATGAGTGGAAAACTTTCTTACACTGGGAATTCTTAGGCAGAAGGTTAGATGGAAAAATTAAAAGCTCAACACCATCTACAGTTCCTTGCAGAGCCAAATCATTATTCATCATGTAATTCACCAATTGTTCATAACATATATAGCTGCAAAAATGCATACACATGAGAAGAGAATACAAAACCAAAGTTGTTAGTCATAAAATAAAGGCCTAATCAAACCTATTAAAATCATGTGCAAAGAGGTAAAGTGCAATATTTTCTTCAGTGATTTGACTTCTTATGAATTGAGATGGCCAAATCCTCCTTCGAGGTAGTTCCTCCAATATAATAATCTCAGGAAGCCTATCCACCATTTGAACAACTTCAATCGATGCAAAATTTGATAAGTGCGCTTGAATCCCATCACAAGTCCTTGTAATCCCCTCATTGTTGTGCATCTGAAACTTTCCTCTGCATGCATGACAACAAATACCACAGAAATTTCATTTTTTTTACACCTTAAAGCAAGACAAGCTGAATAGTTAAACTGAAGACAAAAAAATGGATCATACAGCCATTTGTGATTAGCATTGGGAACAACAAGATTCTGTGAACAAAGTGTTGCCTCAACTTGGACCAAGTCTTTCATGGGACTCCTTTCATGATTAAAAGGAGGGGTGCATAATTCATCCATGCGCACAGAAGTAACATCTTTGGTGAGTTGTTCACGATGTTGGCTATCACTTTTCCTATTTTCATCTGGACAACTTAGGTCTTCAAGGGTGTTGAGATTGCCTGCTCGAAATCCGCGATCCAATTCTTCACAACTTTCAGGGAGAGAAGAGATGATTTTCTTCATGGATTTCAACTTTACAAAAGGGATTTGTTGTCTTTTAGCTTCTAATCCAACATCATTTTCTTCACTTTTTCTAGTACATAAAGATCTAGATTTTAATTTTGAACCTTTGTTGGATTCACAGTTTGTTAAACTTTCATACACATGCCTCTTCTTTCTTCTTGCAACCTCTTCAACTTCATCTTGCACAAATTTGTTTGTACCTTTCCTTGGCGTGCACCCTTGACATGTCCAATATTTACGAAGTTCTGGTTTTGCTTTTAGTTTTAACTTTTCATCTTCATACATGCAATAACTTATTGATGAACGACAAACAAACAGAAAGAAGTTACTTTCTCATAAAGAAAAAAAAAAACTATATGAACATGCAAATCACTAAAAAAATGCAACAAATTGAAATATTGTGGTCAATGTCATGACAAAAAGAAACCAAAATTTCACTTCATCATAAAGTAGAAAAAAAAGGATTATATACACATGCAGATCATTGAAAAATTTAAGAACATGCAAAATATGATAATATTTACGTGTGTTCTGCGCCATCGTAGCACTTGCAGCAAACAATGAGATCATTGGTTAAGTCCTCAAACCCACAAGTATCACAAGCTCGAACCTGCTATCATGAAATTCAAGAGAAATAAAATGTTGAGAAACAAGTTGTCAGACACATGTTTCAAAGGGGATTAAAGAATAAAAGTAGAGATATAGAAGAAGAATATAAAAAAAATTTCTGCTAAGAAGATAATTTGTTCTAGAGCAACAATATCTGATTAATAAAATTAGAATACAACAATTAAGTCTTTACCTACGTTAAGTGAGTCAATTATACATATTAATTATCTTATCATAGCATAAATTATTTTTATAAACAAGTATTAACATTATCAATTGATTTACTACTTTTCTTGGCCTGCCTCGAACTCTACTAACCTTTTATATGAATATATGATGTACTTTCTTTCTTAAAGTTTTCTATACAAGCTAAAGTCACCTAAGATGAGTTTATACCAACATTTCTACGATAAATACCATAAATTTCATCTTAATATTACTTACGTGAAAATAAATAGTTAACTATTACCTGATATTAAAACATTATATATGTTTATAATTTTTCAGTGACAAATTTTAAAACCACAAAATATGTATATAATTAAAACACTTAATTATATAATGCCAAATATACGTAGTCAACCACAAATTGTGAGTATGGTTCTTCCTGTTTTATCTCGTTTTACCTACGGTTTTTCTTTAAATGCGTCATTCAATATCTTTTTTTCACGGTACAAAATCCACCCATTTTTAAATATAGTTATTTTTATCTTTGAAAACTTCGAAATCTAACTATTATCCAGTAATTAATATTGATGCAGAGCATAAAAGAAAATTGATTTAGCAGACATCTCTCAAAACTCAAGTTTATTCTCATGAAAAGAAATAGATAGTCAGACTAAATTAAAAAAAATGAAAAAAATAAGCTATTAAATCGAAAATAAATAAAGGTTCCCTAATTTCATTGAAAAATAATTGATAGACAACAAATCTCCATCAAAGTGGCAATGTTGTAATTAACCATGTTTCGTTTCCAACATTCAATTAAAATAAAATAAAAGCAAAAACATGGTAGCCCTATGCAAATTAAGATTTAGATCTATCTTAAATCTGGAAATAAATCACAGTAAAAGATCCAAATAATGTTTTTAACTATTTATTTGAAAAACTTTATCACTAAAGACCCTCATTAACTCTTTTCACAAAAACGATTCAGTAGATAAAATATTATTTGTGCTCTTTTTATTAGATTTTCTGTCAACAAAGATTTATTGTGTTTTAGTGATTAATGTCTTCAAAAATATATCAATCTTGCTATTATTTGACTTTTACAAGCACTTATACCAGATTGAACTACCTAGAATATTAATATTAGCGTGTATCACTTTTAGGGAATCATCAAAGGAAATTAATCAAGAAGATGTTCGAAAGAGATTAAGATGGTTTTATCCATTTAGAGTTAAAATGCTTTTAAGGTTCCTTCGTTTCAATCAAAATCAATTATAATATCTAACTATACTTTAAAAATATCTCAATAGATTAAAAGAGGAGAATATATATAAATTATCATTGATCCCGACTTTTAAATGATGTGAGACTTATAAACATATCAAAACATAATCTCTCATTTAAGGACTAAAAAATACGAGTAAAACAAGACTTTGCTCTCGATTTCACGAAACAAAAATGCTACAATTTCATATATGTTACGAGTAAAGTCTATTTCTATAATTGAAGTATTATTTGTATCAGAGCTCTAATCCATCACATATATAAAAATTAATCTTGACAATTTTGTTATAACGAACATAAATTGATGATAGTCTCGTTCTTGCATCATATTCACAAATTATAAATAATTACACTAAACCAAATATAAATACACTGGGTCAAATTTAACCAAAAATTAAGATATATAATCTTTTTATCAAGATGCATTTCAATTTAACATACATTTACTATCAATTAGGCATTGAATTCATGCAAATTTGCAAATACTATAACATTATGAAAGGTAAATTGTCATTATAATTTGTGGTTCCTTAAATCTCTTTATGTGATATTAATTTGAATAATTTTTGCATATGGCAACATAGAGAAGACAAGTCCAGAGTTATAATAACTACCACATAGATAACTAAAAATATGTACCGAGGAAAAAAAAAAAAACTTGATACCTCATCATCCATTAAGTCTGAGACATCCCTACAATTTTGTAGTTGAAATTGCTGATATTTTTGCATGCTGGTTCTTAATCAACACAATAGACTCCAGAAGATGATTCCTGTAAGGCAAATGACTTTCAATTTCAAAATAATTCAACTGAGCATCACCTCCCTCAAATGCAAAATAGTTAAAAATACCATTTACCCAAATATTGATGCAGTGTTGACTCTACTTGTTTAATTGAGTCTACTCAAGATAATATCAGATAATTGCTAAAGGAAATCTATGAGAGTGAAAAAAAAATTATGAATTTTTCATTTTGCTGAGATAAGATAGTTAAAATGCATTAATTAATGATAAAATGCAAGATAAATTATAGTTGTGAGGGTGACCATTATAATTACCTAGTGTCACGTCTTCGGTCTTCTTATCGATGCGCTGTTATAACTCAGGATTTTTAATTGAAGTTGATTCGAAAATCTGCGACCATCGAAATTGGTGGGCGAAACCTTTGGATGTGATAGTGTTGGCAGATTCTCTTAGGAATTATTCTTTATTCTGTGGTGGATTGGACCTTTCTGGTTTCTTCAAGCAATTCATTGACCTTGCGAGCATTTGAATCCCTAGGTAAGTGGACCTACACATGTGTCATCATCACTCACACGTGCTACTCAATAAAAAGCAAATCAAAACGACGTCGTTACACTCAATATTATTTTCACTTGGTAAAAGGACACTTTTAGTGAGACACGTGGAATTTGAAAATTTATAACAACCGTTATTTATTTTCGTTCATTTTTTTTTCTAATTAGAGAATAGAAAAGTGGAGGGATGAAGAAGAAAAAACAAGTACAAAGTAAAATTGTTTAAATTATGAAAGAAAACAAAAAATAAAAAATAAAAACATTTATTTATTATTAATAAATTTATTTAATATTTTGGTGTTATTTTGAAAATTTAAATTATTATTATACAATTAATTATCCTTTTTAACATAATTAATTATATAAGGTGAATAAGAAAAATTCTTCACATTCTCCGTGAAAAGAAAATTGTATTTTTTTATTTATTGTAATACGTGTTTTTCATGCATATTAATTGAAGCAAATAAGAGATCCCCGCATATTGGCGCATCCCTCTTCCCCTTCCCAGTTATAAATAAGAGTGTTAAATAATGTCAAATAAATTATAATTATGTATAAATATTAAGAAGTTAAACAAATAAAAACATAAACAAATTATTGTTAGAACTAATAATGAAAATTTATATTCTACATTTGTAAGTACAATTATGTCAATTACACTTTGTTAGGTTGTTTTTATCACTTTCACATTTTTGTTATTTAATCGTCACATAAATGATTGAGTTTGTTTAATTTTTATATCACTATTATAGAGATGATAATAATAATAATAACATAATTATAATTTTGTTTATGTTTTAAATCTCTCTTTATATCTTTTCGCTCACTTTTTTATTATCGAAATTTGCTTCTTCTTAATCCAATCACTTCACTTATTTTAATTCGAAATCCATCAGATTGTTTCAAGATTTTAATTTGATCTTACTAATGTTAAAGTGATTTGGATTATATCAGTTTTCAATTTTCTTTTAAAAATACTAAAACATTAGTAAGTTTCTTATTAAATCAAATAAATAATAAAAAAATCAAATATTTCATTTACATGTCATCATATAACTAATAACAATATAAATATTTAAATATTGAATATGAGTATAGCATTTTAAATATTTGTGAACAAAACAAGTAAGTGGTTCTGCAAAATTAATGTTTCTGCGAGAATCAATTTCGGCTATGAAAAATGCTTACTTGTGTTATTTCTCATACTACATGGCAGAGTACATTAATATAACCCTGGACTAGCAAAATAAATGGAGAAAAAACTGACCCACTACTAGTTTCGTGGGAGTTTTCCTAACTGCAGTATCTGATAGCTAAAATTTAGCTATTCTTCCTAAAAACCCGGTCAACACTTCTGACTATTATTAAACAAAATAAATAACAGAATGCAACAGAAAATATTCAGAAAAATATCTACTAACAATCCCTCCCTTAAACTAAATGTTTGTCATCTAGTTTACTTCTGATGCTTCAATCAAACCCAGCATACTTCTGAGTTTTAAAAACTGATCCAGCTTCAACGGCTTAGTCATAATATCAGCTATTTGAGACTCTGAATTGCAATACGTTAGTTCAATACTCCCACCTTTAACAAGATCTCTTAAAAAATGAAAACGTACGTCTATATGTTTACTTCTTCCA